AGTTGGAGCTGCCCTGTGCAGAGCTAGAGGTAGGCAGGAGGCTGTGGCCACAGCCGGGGACCTGCCCCTGGCTCGGCGGGCGAGGTCCACCAACCCCTGTGAGTCCCAGGAGGATGCAGCGGTGGTCGCACGGCTTGTGGCTGGTGGTGTCTGTGCCCACTGGGCGCTTGCATACACCCTGCATGTGCTGTGACATAGTGCTGCCAGGAATCAGAACGTGGAGCGCCCGCCAGGAGGGTCCAACCAGAGAGGGGTACACGCAAATCTCTGTGTTTTGCTGGGAGGGATTTGCACCTGGGAAGTTGCCCATCACGAGCTGGCAGTGTGGCTGCCCTAGTGGCTCCTCCCTTCACGCCATCACTGGTGCTGGGGAAAGGCTTCCTTAGAGCAAGTTGAGGGTATTTCTAGACTGTGACTTGTGAAAACTGTTATGGGGACATTGGGGCTTCTTTTTTTGTTTCCTCTTGAATCTGCTTCCCAGCTTTGTGTCCTCTTCCTGCCACTGCCTCCCGAATCCTGGCTCCCAGGGGGAAGCTTGGCTGCGCAGGGCTGGGGCATAGAGGGCACAGGGTGGGAGGTGCAGCTCCCCGTGGGCAACACGACCCTCTGCCCCGCTCTGAGAATGTGGCAGGCTGGTGCCACGGAGCCCAGAGGCAAGGGTGTCGGGTTCACATGGTAGAGCTGCTGCTGTGCTGGGAGGAGGAGGCCCGCTGAGGACCACCGTGGCATCCAGGCCAGCTGCTGAGGGGGTGGAGGGCGCAGGCACCATGTGCTGGGTGTGGCTCGCACGTGGTGCAGAGGGGTCGGGGACTACTAGCTTGATGGGCTGGAGGAGCCCATGGAAACCTGGACAGGAAACCAGGATCTTGGAAGCTGAGGGAAGAAGTGTGTGGCGAGGGAGAGCAGCAGTGGATCTGGCAGCAGGGAGGTCACTGCGCCTTCAGGTTCAGAGGAACGCGGGTCACAGCAGTCCTGGTGGGAGGAAAGGCCCGGAAGGCTGAGTGCCAGCAGCCGCCTTGGGAGTGAGACCGACTCCGGGATGCACGGTGCAGTGAGAGGCGACATCCCTGAGGGCTGGGCACGAGCTGGGGCAGGCAGGGAGGCGAAGCAGGCGCAGGGGCCGCCTACCCACCCAGGAAGTATGGTCACCGCCTGTCACTGAAACCTGGCATCTTGGTGGCAGGGCCGCGTCACAGATCCCAGTGCAGGGCCCGTTTGTGGACGTCTTTCCAGAGGAGGACAGCCAGAGCTGGGCTGTGGCCCTGCTCCCTGGGCTTGCACAGGCTTTACGGGAGACCGCTGTGGGGCGTTGGGGCTGCCTGCAAGGCTTCCTGCAGCTCTGCCTCCTTGCCTGATGCTCTGTGCCCCAATCTCCTCTTCAGACTCGCTGGCTCCTGGGTGACAGAGTAGCCTGGGCCCTGTGTCCTGGGCCCGGGGCAGGTCACAAAACAGCTCCTTGGACACGGGTGTCTTCTCTGTCCAACATGGGCATGTCTTTTTGCTTTGCAGGGAAATTCAGTCATCCCGAAATAGTCCAGCTTGTCTCTGAAATCGAAGGTGAAAGGAACGCAAACATTGCCACAGCCGCAGGCGAGCCACACTCCTGAGCCAGTGACCCGAGATTTCTTTCCATTTCGTGGTGCTGTTCTGCTGTTGCTGGTCTCAAGTCCCTCCATGTGAAGTCTGTGGGTTTTCAGTTGTCTGGAATTCTGCAAGAAGTGTGATGTTATTCAGGCCCTAAAGCCACGGAAGAAGTGGTTATGAACACAGCAGGAGTGAGGAGGACTGCCTTTTTAATAAATAAAACGGTACACACCTTAAACTTGAAAAGTTTTAGCGTCATCTTAAGTCATCTTTTTTTGACTTAGTAACCTGCTTGCCTGAAGACCAGATTCTTCCTTTTTTTTTTTTTTTTTTTTTAATGTATTTGGTTGTCACAGGGTCTCACTGTGTGGCTCGGACTCATGGTGATCCTCCTGTTTTCAGCCTTCCGAGCACTGGGATTACAGGCATGCGCCACTATGCCCAGGCTCTGGCCAGCTCTGACAATGCTGGGGGCAGGCATGTAGTCCTGGGGATCGAACCACAGTGCCTATGCTTGCCTGAGCAGGCGCTTTAGTCCACTGAGCTATCTCACCGGCCCGCAAGGGCCAGATTCATTGAAGACACACTGAGTTGAGAACAGATTGCTGCTGATGTCGTGATGAGGACCTGGAAGAGAAATTGTGTGGGTGCTCTAACACTTCTCACCACGGGTGAGGTAGTACCTGACACCCTTCCCCCCCCCATCACTTTCTTGAGCAGAATTTTACTTCTCGTTCATTGTGACCCTGATTATGCACTCAGAAACCTTGCCCTGCAGCCCTGTGTTACTTAAATTGGCTGTAAATGGGGGCACACAGGTTCAGTTGTCACTTTCCCGCGGTTGTAGGCACTTCATGGCTGAGACGGCCATGGCTTAAAGGGAGAGAGGATTGCAGTTCTAGAAGTTTCTGTCCATGGTTCCCGTCCCAGGTCTGGGAGTTTCCATGTGGTCCAGCGTGGTGGAGCGGCCTGGATAGAGGGAGGGCAGCTGTTCATCTGGAGCAGAGTAGGGTGGGTCTGGAGAGGTGTACACAGCCAGGCCCCACCCGGTGGCCCCCTCCACCAAGCCCCACCTGACTGCACGTTCCGTTCTGCCCTGCTGGGGAGTACATGAGGCTTCGGGATGTTCTCAACCCAGACCTTAGCACATGCCTCTTTCTCCTTTCTGTCTGATCTACAGCTCTTGAGACTTGGTTATAAGAACATTTATTACCTGGTGAGAAACCTCACATGGAAGGGTGTTGCCAGAGGCACTAAAGCTGAGGGAGGTTATGCATCGATTTGGTGTCTTCCCCTCCTGTTCCTTCTGCGGGATTAAGTGGCTCACCCTCACATGCCTGTAAGTGACCCTGCAGTGGGACATGCGGAAAGAAAGGTGGTCCATGCGAACATGTGCAGGTCTTTGCCACAGAGCAGCAGGGCCTGTCCCTTCAACTCAGATGCCAGTTTCTATTGGAGGGCCTTTGAAGCTGACATGGTAATGTTTTAGGCAGTGTTTCTCTGGCAACTTTGCGGTATCCATGGAGACCCAGCCTGCGGGAAGTGAGGTGCATGATCTCTCCAGAAGCAGCACACGTGTGCGTACAGTCGCTCTGCAGTGACTGCAGAATGGGCCCAGCGCGGTTGCTTTTGAAGATCTAATTAGTAGGAAGACAAGTCCATCAGTCTGTATTGTGGAGCTTTTTCCTCTTGGTATAGAAGTATGTGCATAAAATAACCCTAGATAAAGATCAGCTTTGTAACTACAAGGTTTCTGATGACCGTCAGGCCTTCTTTGACATTTTGCTGCAGATTTTATGAGTACAGCTTGGAGCTGGAAGCCTGTCGGGGTGAGACTACCTGGGTCCCTTCATGGTTATCTCAGTTTGTCATCTGCCTTCCAGCTAGGTCCTAATTAGCCCATACCTCCAGGGAGTGTGTATTTTCTAAGAAGTGTTGGAGTGCTAGGTGCTGGGAATAAAATAGCATTTTAATAGAAACAGAGCAGAGCCGTAAGGTAGCTATTTAGTCTGCCAGCCATGTCTACATAGTTTCGCATGTGATTAGTGTGTGTATGCTAGATTCCTCGATTTGGTCTTCTGAGTGACAAACCCTGTCATTTTGAGCAGAGTAAATTAGTCTTGGGTTGAACACGAAAATAATTCGTCATTGTTCTTCACTCGTGGGCTGGCATGTCACAACTGTCACAGCATTTTCAAGGCCCTTGTATGAGAAATGCCTGTCTCAGCCTTGTCGTGCTGGCGTGCGATCTTGGGTCAGTGATGATAAAGTGCGACAGGGAAAGCATTCTCTGTCCCCACATTTTGTACATGTAACTTGGTATTCTTAGGTACGAAGGGGCTCTCTGTGGGGTTTGAGATGGTGTATGGGTGTCCACCGAGGTTCTGTGGCTGGAAGGCTGCTTCTCCTCATGGGACAGTGAGGCTGGGCCCCTTCACAATGGAGGTTACCCAGAGCTAAGGGGTACTGGGCGGGGTGCGTTGCCCTTGGATGGGTCAGCACTGGTCATGCAGAGCAAGCTCATGGAAGAGGCTGGAAGACAGCCGAGCTGGCCCAGCCCAGGCCCTCCGATCTCACAGTGCAGTCTCACGCATTCTGTCCTGTGAGGCCGCTGACCAGGAGGCTGCCTTCAGAACTGAGCAGATGTCCTTGCCTCTGTTCATGCTTTCCCGAACAGACTCTTTTGGCCTGTTGGCATGAGAATCTTTCTGTGCCTCGCAAGCATTCATATTTTCTAAAGGATAAGCAAAACCAGAATTGGAACCTTCGTTCTGGTGAAGTTAAATGACACGAGGTACCTGTTCCCTCCCCATGCTCGGTCTTGGGGAAACACTGCCTATTCGTTCGCATTTGTGCTTCTTGCGGCTGCTGTCTACAGCTGATTTGAGTATCCACAGCCAAGAGGATGGCTTCCCAACTGGAAAATATATGCTCTCTGGTTCTTTACCCAGAGATTTTTATGATTCAAGCGGGG